AGGCGATGCTATCAAGAGGTCCGATACTGTTGATCCTGGGCATAGTTGTGGCCAGACTGCAACTCGCAAAAACCCCATACCCCGCATACACAGCATCTGATATCATCGCCTGGATGCTGACGTGACGGGCCAACCTGTAGGCCGAAATGGAAACTCGCAAGACGGCCAGCGGGAAATCGTACTCGATGCTGCGCTGGAGCAGCTGAGGGAGCGGCAGCGCTTCATAATGTTAACGAAGTCCCACACGAGATTACAGGAAACCAAGCCCCGAGCCAGCTCTCCCTCTGCTCGAAGCATGGCGCCACGCGGTGTCGCCCGCACCAATGAAGCCGCCTGTGGCAAAATACGGCCTAGAATGCGAGGCCTCCCGGGCGTCGGCGATGGGCCTGCGGGCCTTCGCCCACACTCTGTAGGGGGCACAAATTACTCCGATCGTACTGGCTCCCGAAGGAATTTTCAGAATCATGTGCATCAGAACAATGGCAATCTGGGCGGGAAGCGGCCCCGACGTTTCCATCGCAAGGGAGATCGACAGGAACGCGGCCAGCCCTTGGTCCGAAAGCCACCCCAAGTGACGGATGTGAAACCCGTCCGAGGCAACAGCATTCCTTTCCTTGTGACGCAAACGAATTGTTCGAACCGCGCCCAGGTCCAAAGGCGGCAAAGGGGGGGCAAGGGCGATGCGGGCAGGGGGCGGGGCGGCGGAAATGGCGAAACCCTCCGGAGTCCCTGGTATCTGGCCGATTCGGAATGTAAGATGCATCGAGGGTCGGTGACGACATGCCCTCCTCTTTCCAAGACGGTGGTGGGCTGCCGGGGGGCCGGGGCTTTCGAGGCGAAATGAGCGCTTCGACCCCCCAGGTCGAATCCCTTGAAAAACCAGGGCCGCCACCCCTGGGCAGACTCATGGCGAGCCATCTTCTCGCAGGAATCCAAGGCCTCACGGACGGTGGACTGAAACCCGCTCGCGCGACAGCCGAGGCCCGAAGCACCACCACTGCCCAGCCATTGCCGGCCGAGGGGCAACGCAGGTTGAGGGCATCTAGGAAAAGGGGCTGGTGCCCTCTTGCCGTGCTTAACAACCAACGGTGGGACAGCGAAACCATGCTGGATGGCATCAGCAAGGCCGTCATGCGTCGGATGCTGGAGACAGGCTTCCAGCGTAACGGTGGACTTTCACAACCATCTGATGGGTGCAAGCTCGGGATGTCTCGGCGGCTTCACGTCCTGCTGACAGACCGAAGACCAGACGGTGGGGGGGCAGCTTTCCTCGGGACCCTGGGCTCTTCACTTCAACTCCCGCGGCGTCCGCGACCTCCCTCTCCGCCGAATTAGCCCAGGACTTGTAGGAGGAGGCAAGAAGAGACTGAGTGAGGGGGCCACCCCTTCGGCGCGCCGTTTCCAGCGCGTTTGCAATACTGGCCTGGGCGCCTCGATAGTCGGGGGGCCCCCTGCAGGGGCCGCTCAAAGCAGGAAATCGAGCGGGGCGCTTCAAAGTGAGCGCGCACAACTGGCCAAAGTGCGGAAAAAAGGCGTGAGCCTGACAAGCCAATGCGGCGACAGATCTCCATCGGGCATCCGGTCGAGCGATTGAGCAGCCGAAGTTAGGCCAGGGCTGGCGATGAAATTGTCGTTCATCCACATGCCCCCGGTAGTGTGGCACGCCCCAGAGCATAATTGATACATGACAACCCCCCAGATTGATATGCAAACTGCTGGACGCGGAGGTCGGAGGGCGGGTTAGTGGCATCGCCTCCAGCAAGCCAAGGAAGACAGGCGCTGGTGGAAGCTCTTCCAAAGTCCGACAACATGCGCTGATTCTTGGCGTCGAAACCGCACCCGTCGCACAGGTGAACGGAAGTAGTGCACAAGTCTACGCCACCAGGGATCCCCGCGATGCCCGAGATGACCCTAGGACTCCGCCAGCGACGCCACAGGATTGTGGTGCAGGCCCAGGAAGTCCCGAACGAAGATCGCCACCCCGCCCGCGCTGCCTGCGCCCTCACCTGGAGCCGATGGGCCCCAGGTGACTCGCCAACCATTTCCAGTCGACCAGGCACTGGCCGGGTTTATACCCTCCCCCGCCAGGACACGGTGTTCCTGCATCCAAAGTACGCGGGCGGTCGTAGTCAAGAGGCACTTCCGTCCAACCCCCCACCCCGAAACATTCGCCGCTTCAAAACTCAGGGCGGGGGAAGAGGCCTGAGCCTGGCAGGGGGAACGAGGCGCAACGAGAGAAGCAGGGCGGCCCCCTTCCTGGACCTGGGACTCCTTGCAGGGGGTTCCACGGAGATCATTGCCCAAAAGTTTGGTCCAGGTGGGCCGAGACCAAAACGAGTTGAATGTTGGCCTCAAGAGGCCGCAAGTGAAACGCGAAAAGAACTCTTCCCCCCCCCTCTGGCCCCCCTGGTCTTGCCAGGCCCCTCGGGGCCTTTTTTTGTTTGGGGGGGGGGTCGCTTCTGGACTTGAGGATGGCTGCTGCCGCCTCGCGGGTGGCGCGCCTCTCGGCCTCTCCGTCCTCGGCGGAGGTGGCCTCCCCGGCGCCCTGGAAGGCGGCGGCTCCACCGCTGCCTGCACCTCCAGGGCTGCGCGGGAGACTGGGTTGGCTCGGCGGAGGGGGCCTCGCCATCTGCTGGTGCACCACCAGGAGGTGCAGCCACAGGATCCTCGGAGTCTCCAGTACGGCGTTTCTTCTGGGGGCGCTTGACGAGGTTGCTCCTTTCGGTCTTGAACGCCTGGACCTTTTCCGCGGCATCTCCGAAGAGGGTGACCACCGCCGCTCGAATCTCCGTCTGCAAATGCTCCAACCTCTGCTTTCCCCCACGCTGAGTGGCGTCGTCAACCTCGTACTCATCCGAAAAGGTCGCGTCGCCTGCGAGGGATCCCAGGGGAATGGGTAACTCCGTGACTTTGCCTGAAATGCGATCGTCTATGCTGATGGCGGCGGGTGGCTGAACTCCACCAACCTTCTCGTTAAGTGCACGCACCAGTCGAGCATGTTCTGCCTCAGTCGCCGCGTCCATTTCACCTGAAATCTTCTTGACCCAGTCGAACTGCGCGGAAAACTGTTCCTGAAGACGCCGGTGGTGCGTGACTGCTTTGGAAAACTAGGTCTCGATGGACCTGGTTGAACGCGTTCGAGACCTGCTGCTGGAGCGAAGGGGCCTGGGCGGCAGATGCCGCTTGGACTTACCGTTGGTCCAGAATCCGCTGGTAACTCTTGGCATTCTCTGTGTCTCCGATCTCCGTGAGAAAATCGATGGTCTGCTGGATGTCTGCGAGGCTGGCGTCCCCCGAGAGCTTGGGCACAGGCGAAGAGGACTGCCCAGCCATGAACTGAGGGCCAGGACGTACAGGAAAACCAAAAAAACAGGAGCGGGCGGGCCGCCGCCGCCCCCCACCGGAGGTGGCGGAGGGATGGGGCCTGTCCACTGGGCTCCGAGAGGTGGACCTGGCCAGCCGCCCCCTCCCCCGCCCCAGCCGTGGCACCACCGCAACAAACGTCCAGAAACCACCGCCACCACCACAACCCACCACCACCACCACAAACCACCACCACACCACCACCACCACACCACCACAACCACCACCACCACAACTCACCATCACCGTCAGCACTTACCATCACCACAAAAAACCCACCATCACTGCCACCACCACGAACACAATCTACCACAACACCACCACCACCGCCACAACCACCACCACTACCAGCAGCACAACCCACCACCACCACAAACCACCACACCACGACCACCACCACCACCACCACCACCACCATCAACACCACATCCACAAACCACCGCCACAACCACAATCCACCACCACCACCACAAACCACCACCACACCACAACCAAACCACGACCACCACCACTATAACGCACCACCACCATCACCACAAACCGCAACAACACCACTAGCAAACCACCACCACCACCACCACCCACCGCCACAACCACCGCCACCACAACAAACCACCACACCACCACCACCACAACCACCACCACCGCCACCACCACCACCACAACCCACCACCACAACCACCGCCACCGTCGTCCTCGTCGACGCTCCCCGCCACCGCCGCCGCCCGCCACCGCAGGCGCCGGCGCCGGCCCAGAAATGGAAATCATCGTTCCCGCCGCCGTTGCCAGCCGCCGCGGACACAAGCGCCGGCCCGAGGAGAGGGGAAGCAAACCAGGGAAGGGGGAACGGGGGGTGGTCGAACGCCCCCCCGTCACGGGAGGGGGGGGGTCCGGTTTCGAACCCCCCCTCCTCCATCCGGGGGGGGGTACGGTTTCAACCCCCCCCTCCTCCAAGCGACCACAGAAGACGCTCTTTTCGTGCTACGAACGCTCGCGCAGCGCGCCCGCCTCCCCCCTTCCCCTACACCATGTCGCGCCTCCTACTCTCCCTTGTTCCTCTCCCTCCCTCCTCCCCCGTCCTCATCCTCCCTTCCCCCTGCGAGCGCCGAGGCCAGCCTGTGCCACGCCCGCTGCTCTGATCTCGAGTCCGCCCAGTCCTCCTCCTGCTCGTCCTGCTCCTGCTCGCCCTCCTCCCCCTCACCCAGCTCGTCGTATTCTTGCCCTCTTGCCTAACTGGGGGGCGCTGTCCACTGAGACGCCCTGCTGATTCAATTTCGGGAGGGAGGAGGGGTGGTGGCGTCGAGAACGACCCTTGTGGCACCCTACCTGGGCTTCCACCACCCTCCTGCCCGTCCTCCTCCACCTCCTGCTCCTCCTGCTTCTGCTCTCCCTCCTGCTCGTCGTCGTCGTCCTCCTCCTCCTCCTCCTCCTCCTCCTGCTCCTCCTCCTCCTTGCTTCTCCCCCTCCTCCTTACTCCTCCTCCTCCTCCTCCTCCTCCTCCTCCTCCTCCTCCTCTTCCTCCTCCTCCTCCTCCTTACTCCTTAATCCTTCCCCTCCTCCTCTTCCTCCTCCTCCTCCTCCTCCTCCTCCTTCCTCCTCCCCCTCCTCCTCCTCGCCGAGAAAGGCAAGAGGCGCACCTCCGGCACGCCCCCAGCACAGACGTCACGGAGCCCAGGGCCTCCGGCCCGCACGCTCCCTGCTGCCCCCGAGCCTCCCGCCGCTCCGCCCGTGCCTGCCCCACGCCCTCCCCTTCCACACAGCCCGCTCTCCCTCCCTCCCTCCTCCGCCTCCCCCCCCCTCCCCCTCCCTTGTGGCCCCTCCCTCCCAATGCTTCCCTCCCCCCCCGCCTCCCTCTGGGGCCTCCCCCACCTCCCCTCCCTCCCTGCCCCTCTCCCGCCCTCTGCTCCCCTCCCCTCCCCTGCCTCCCCTCGCGCAGCTTCCTATGGCGTGGGCCCCCGCCCGCCCCTTCCTCACCCCCCACCTCCCTGCCAAACGTCCTGGCCTTCAGTCGGGCATGTCCCTCTACAGGAGGAATAACGAAAAATAGTTTAGAAAAATACTCTGGGGACGATTTGATTCACTACTTCTGACTATGCTTGGACTTTTCTTTGCTAAATTTCATTTTTCTTCCAAAATCCGCCTGTAGGAGAACATGCCCGGCCTAACACTGGGCGCCTCCTCCCCTCCCTACCCCCCCCCCCCCCCGCCCCTTCTACCCTGGCCCCCTCCCTCCCCCCCTTCCCCCTCCCCCCAGACCCTACTGCCCTGGCAGCCTCCCTCCTGGATCCCCCATCCCCAGAGGAACACAAAACGGCTTGAGCTCGCCGGCCCAACGGGCGCAGCTTTAGAACACTTCGAATTCGAGCGCGCGTGGCTGCCCCTGAGGGTCCCCGGACGAGAACAAAAAGAAACCATGCAAATCCCTGGCGGTGCCCGGGCTGTCCCCGTCACGGATGCAAGAACTTCTGGGGGCTGCCTCCAGAGCAGTCAAGAGCGTCAAAAGAAGCCCCCAAATCGGCCTAAGAGGACACAGAGTCACCGGAAGTCGTTCCAAGATGCCCAACATAGCCTCCCGACGGCTTCAACCGCCTCCAAGACGCCAGGAGGGAGATGCCTCCAAGACCACTCCCAAGAAGCCCCCTAGAGGCGATGTTATAATTTTTGTTTACAGTTTTTCGCGTTCTCACCTTTTCGGCTGCCGACGCTCTAAGACGATCCACGAAGCCCCTAAGATCGCTCCAACACGGCCCATAAGCCTCCGAGCACAACGGCCGAGGGGGACTCCAAGACGGCCCAAGTTCCTCCCAAGACGGCGCTGGAGAGCCCCAAGACACCTTCAGAAGACCCCTCGAGGGGAGCCCCCACGGATGTTTCGAACAGTCTGTCTCACAATCGCCCCCAGGGGCCCCCACCAGGCCTCCACAGAGCGTTCAGTATGCCTTCGGCCTCCAAATCGCCCCCAGAGCCTCCCCCCAGAGAAGGCCTGCCCTCTCTCTCTTCATGAGGAAGCCAAGAAGTACCGATACTGCTACTCCCTGGACCTCTCCTGTGGTGCGTTCTGACAAGAACTTCAAGGCAGATCCAGCGGTGGCGACGAGGGCATCCCAAGAGGCCCCCCAAAGGGAACACGGGCGGGGGTGCAGAGATCTGGGTACCTCTTTCATCCTCCAACCCTCCCTTCCCCCCCTCGCTCGCCGCCGATAATTGGGCCCCGGGCTTCTCCCAGGCTCCCTCCTGGCCCGTTTTTCGACGCCCTGCAGGACCGCGAAAGAACGGCCCAGGACGAAAACCTGGTCCTGGGTTACGTTGTTCCCATCCCACTTAAGGACCACATCCCAGAAGTAATTTCGAGCACCCGGAAATGTCTCAAAAGAGTGTCGAAACAGTGTCTGGCAAGTGTCTGCCAGGGCCCGACACGTGAAAACCCTTGAGTTTCGGCACTTTTTTTGGTGCTCGAAATTCTTTCTGGCGGTCGAGGCTAAAGTAGGTTGGAGCATCATAAGTTCTGGGGGGAAGCTCCGGGGTCCAGGAGCCGCCGTCCTCAGGATCCGCTTCCTCCAGAGCGAGGTCGCGATTGACGACGACGACGACGACGACGACGACGACGACGACGACGACGACGACGACGACAACGGCGGCTTCCGCCGCGGCGACGCGAGGTCTCTCTGGGAGGCCCCGCATCGGACGGAAAGCGCCAGGGAGGGCCGCCCGTCGCTGTCCCGGCCGGCCCCGCTCCGAGGTCGAGCGCCTACCAGGGACGCGAGGACGACGGCGCGGTTGGACGGTTTCCCCCGGGGCCGTAGGCGACCCGAGGAGGGAAGGCAAGGAGGGGGACGAGGAGGACGAGGAGGAGGTGGTGGAGGAGGAGGAGGAGGAGGAGGAGGAGGAGGAGGCGGAGGAGGAGGATCGGGGAGGAGGAGCAGGAGGAGGAAATGGAGGAGGAGGAGGAGCAGGAGGAGGAGCAGGAGGAGGAGGAGGAGGAGGAGGAGGAGGACAGGTCGCCTAAGCACTTCGGAGAAACCCTCCAGGCGCGGCATCAAAAAGAAGATGCGCAACCTGCATAAACTGAAACTTCTGGCGCTCCATACGGATTTCTTGGATCTGCGCTGGGCCCCCCTACCTGGCGCGTGCAGCGCGCCAGCGAGGGCGCCGGAGGCGCCGCCGGGGGCGCCCAGCGCGGATCCAAGAAACCCTTGCGAAACGCCAGAAGTTTCTGCTTATGCCGTTTTTCTTCATCGACCAGAGCAGAGTGAGGACAAACCGCGCGGTGCCCCCGAGATCCGCAGACGACCTCACCGACACCGCATGGTCTTGGGACCCTGGACGCCCCAGGCGCCAGCACCACACGGCGAGGGCCCTGGCACGCTCGTGGTGTGCAACCGACACGACGGCAAGCTTCTGGCCGCCTCGGGAGCCCGGGGGCCCCCGCTGGGCCGCAGGACGGTCAACAAAACACGACTCACAACGAAAATCAGCCCCAGGGAACGGGCCGGGATCTCGGGGGCCCCGTGCGGGAGGGAAGCAGGACACTGGACATCGCACACCTGGGGCCGCTCCGGCCCCTCCGCAGCGGCCCCCGCCGCGCGAGCCATCTCCCTCCCTCAAGCCCGCCCCGCGGCCGCTCCTCCCCTCCCCCCTGTGTCCCCCTCTTGCCGCCGGACAGCCAGCGATGCTGTCTCCCGGCCCGCCCGAGCGCGCGTGCGGACTGCCCCTGCCGCGCTGCGCCGCAACAGTCTGGGGCCACGGCGCGCACCGCTGGGGAGGCTCCCGAGCCTCCCCCGCCAGACGCCCACGAGCAGCGCCTGCTGTGCCGCCCGTCGGGGGCGCACAAACATGGATTGGCGATCCATGGATTTGACGCGCGATCGCCAAATCCAGGGATCGGGGGAGGTGCCCTCCCCAAAATGCGGCCGGTACCTCCTCGCTCGGCGGCGGAAAGCCGCGATTTCCCGTGGCAACGGGACCGTCGCTAATCTTGGGTCGGGCATGTCCTCCTACAGGCGGATTTTGGACGCGAGCAAAAAAAGAAAACAAGAAAATGCTCAAAACGAGTGAAACAATAGTCAACAAATCGTCCCCAGACTGTTCTGTTACTACTAATTTTGAGCGTTCCTCCTGTAGAGGGACACGCCCGACTTCACGCTAATCCGCGCCCCCTTTTTGGACGCCCGAAATGGGCACGGAAAGAATGGGTACAATGCCCAACAACAAGTGTTGTCCCAAACCAACAGCGGCCGCTGTTGGGCAGGCGGCCCCCTGTCTCGAATGGACACAGGCCGCGGCGGCGCGGACAGCGAGTCCTGTTCAAAATGAACAGGAACTGCTGTTGGGCATTGTACCCGTCCGTGCCCATTTCGCTCGTGCGGGCCCTTGATCTGTGCTTGCGATCGCCGGAGTGCGAAGCTCGATCCGCGGCCGCATGCCTCCCGAGCACTCCCCCCCCCGGGGGGCAACTCTGCTCGGCACGGCCCTTCCTTTGATCGCCACCTCCTCCTCCTCCTCCTCCTCCTCCTCCTTATGATCATCATGATCATCATGATCATGATCATGATCATGATCATGATCATGATCATCATCATCAACATCATCCTCATCAGCATCAGCATCAGCATCATCGTCATCATCAGCATCATCATCATCATCATCATCAGCAGCAGCAGCATCAGCATCAGCATCAGCATCATCATCATCATCATCATCAGCAGCAGCAGCAGCAGCATCAGCACAGCAGCATCCTCCTCCTCCTCCTCCTCCTCCCTCCTCCTTTTCCTCCTCCTCCTCCTCCTCCTCCTCCTCCTCCTCCTCCTCCTCCTCCTCCTCCTCCCTCTCCTCCTCCTTTTATCTTCCTCGTCCTCCTCCTCCTCCTCCTCCTGCCCTCCTCCCTGCGTTGAGCAGGGGCCGACCGCCCTGGCATTCCTGTAGGCATAGGCACCAAAACCATGTGTCAAAGAACCGTGTTCTTAGAACAGAAGCCCGACGTATTCAAACAAGGCAGTCTCGGCCAAACATGTTCCAATTACATTTCGTGCAGGCCACTAAAGGTTCTTAGCACATTATTTGGTGGGCCGATGGGCAAGCCATGACGCTTCGCAATTGCTCGACTCCTACCTCTCCCTTCTCTTTCTCCTACCTCTTCCCAGACCCCCGACGTCGTGATTTTCTCACAACGTAGACCCCCAGAGGTCTGGACCCCTTCCCCAGGACTCGCGTTTCGGACTGAGTCGTTTTTGACGGCCCCTGGGCCCAGCAAGGGCCCCCCCTGAGGCTGAAAATCGGGGGGGGGGGGGGGGGAAAAAAAAAAAGGCCTGTCGCGGTTTCCTGTCACGACGCGAATGGGTCTGGCATCACAAGCCGGAAGACCATCCCCGAAGAACATGAGGCCCTCCGTCGGCCAGGACACGTTTTTCGTCGGCGGCGAGGCAGAGGCGATCCGCACCAGCGTGGGGGCGGCTGGGACACACAGAATATCCAAGGGTACCCTCCCCAGGATGCACAAGAGCATCCACCGAGCACGAAGGACATCCAGGTACCCTCCCCGATCCGACCTCGATCTTATACCTCGGCCCGGCTGTAAGAGAGCGGTCGTGGGAACGGTTGAAGCCATCTGGAGGCCGCCGTGCCCCATCTTCAAAAGGCAACTCGGGGCCGTCTTGGGACCCTGCTGAGCCATCCTGGTGG